TATTTAATCCTAACTTACGAAATATATATATATATATATATATATATATATGCAATAATATAATAAAACTAACGATGTAGAACATATCATTTTAATCGCATGATTGGAAGATAAATGTTATTTGCATCATAAAATTCACTCTGAAAATTGTTAATCATGAAAAGATCAGGCGCTGCGGTTACGCCCGCAATGCCTTAACTTCAACCTGGTGTTGTAACCAGTTTTAAATCCGTGTATATCTCGTAGTCGCCGAAATCTCTTCGCGACTGTCGGCCACGCAGAATCCCACAAAATAAATCGCGTCTTTCGTCCGCGTGATCCCCGGTAATATTTGTCTTTCATCGGGCCATTTTACAAGATTCCCCTATCTATTCGACTTTCTAGGCAAGAAAGATGAAATCGGAGGCGGCCGTAGGCGCGAGCTCGGACACGCACTCACGTCGCGCGACAGGGTTTGTGAAAAGGGGGTGATTCCCTGACTCTCGTCGGCTGGGATTGGTAAGATGGTAGAAGGATATGGGGCTCCCGTGGGATAAAACGGGTTATCGGATGCGAAACTCGCTGCGTGGAAATGTAAAGGCACCCTGACAAATCGGTTTCTATTACCGGGCAGCGGCGGATCGTCTTTTTATATATTGATAGCATTATTTCGCACAGCTACATCCACCGTATTCACTCCATGTCTTCTTCAATAGGGCGCGATAGGCTCTTAGTGTTTAATGAGAAAAATTCTGCGGAAATGCACCGTATGCTTCAATTTGACAGTTTGCTGACTTATATGAGAAGAGTAAAAAAATACGAATATGAGCTTTTACTCTCCAAATCTTTTTTTAATCTACTAATTTAACGAATTGTAATTAATAAACTAGAATACCGAATTATCCGGATTTTTAATTAACCACATAATCGTAACAAGAAAAAATAAAAGCTTAGTCATTCACACTTAATTATACATGTATTTCGAAAATGTTAATAATAATTAAATCTATTCAGACTTCTTTCATGTTTTGTCTTGTCATAAGTAAATTTGTATAATTGACGTTCTGCTCAAGTTATGCTTCTTGGGTTTTCTTGACGCTGACATTATTTTTTACATTTACATAGACATGTGTTACATGTGCCATAACGATGCAAAATTTTGCCTTTTACAATTAAGATTGTTCGTTACTTTTATTGCAGTTAATAGAACGATTGACCACGGAATTCCCAGCGCATCTCTGCCCTCTGATACAATATAATCGGTGCGTAATCATCCCATTGTTTGCCGAGAAATTAAATGGACAGTACATTCGCGTTGCTGGAGTGGCTCGCAAACGATTGTCACAATGTCCGATAATAGCATTTATTACTGCTATTCGCATTTTTGTTTAACCAGACGTTGATCATAGGCAGCCAGGTTATATCTTGATCGTTTGAAATGCGCTCCCGTGCAATCGATTAATCCGTTACCGTCGAAATCAATTTTATTACTACTTCTAATTTGCAATCGATCGCGATAGATTTAGAATTCGGAACCTTAATTCTCATTTAACAACTTGGACAATTGTAATGTCGAAAGATAATAAAATAATATAAAATATGTATGTCATGGAAGTAGTGACAGATTAATAAATATAATTTTATATCATAAATTGTTAAAATATTAAATGTTAAATATATGCATTTCATTCCATATTCACGAAACTTACTTAACAACGTCTTATTATTTCCGTCTTCTGATTTTAATTCGTCTTCAATATATATATATAGTAAGAGTAGCAAATAACTAATATAATATCTTTCGCCAATGGTATTGGAACGGGATGTATTTCGTATTATACAATGCATGTATTACACAATGCATATCGCGAAATAAATGGCTAATATTTTTCTATGTTTCGAGCAACGTGGATTCCTTTATTAACAGAAGAGAAAATATATTAAAATAAGATGAAAGAAAAAAAATACATTGCGATTACTGAAATAAATACGTATACGTAAGGAAGTCAATTATAGATAACGACCGAGATCGGCGCGGGAATTGTTATGTAATATCTACCATTCCGCCAAGCTGGTTTTTTCACACAGTTGTGTAAAATATTTATTTATAATTAGTACAAAGGAGAACAAGTGCGCGAATTATTTTCAGTCGCCTGATCGTGCCGCGCGTGCAGGCTACAAAAGTGAATAAATAATGTAAAAATGTTAATTGTCGTCAGCACTTGGTGTCACTGCGAGAACACAAAGGACAAAGGTATAATGATATATCGGCGATATATATTATTATCAGTTTCAGGAAAACGCAAATTTCCCGGAGGCGGGAAAGCGGCTCCCAGCCGCTCTGCGCGCTTTTAAAAATAAATTCGAACGAAAGAAATATCAATTAACACGCTCAATAACGCAAGCAATATCCCGAGCGTTCATCCGAAACCACCCTCTATGCGGTTACTACGCGAGCAGGCAGGAACGCGCTGCACCCATTCATATACAAGAGGATAAAGCAGCCCCCACTCGCCCAACAGCAAATAATTAGTATCTTAGTAATATCGGGAATGCGTTTAATGTTAGCAACTAACTTGGCTACTTGATTAAATAGAGCGATTGATGAAACTATTTGGCCGTACATCGAATTAAAGTGTAACTAGCTCTAATCGCATGAATTAAATGCGAAATTATATATTATTCTTACATAACAAGTGTCTTTAAAACCACAAAAAAAGATAAATAAGATATATAAATAAATTTTGCTTAAAACACATCTCGATATGTGTCATCATTAAATATGTACTTGCTCTAAACTTCGATTATGTACACGTAAAAAAAACATGGTCATGTAAAAAAAAACGAACCTTCACACTTTGATCCTAAAACATATAAACTCCAAACAATATCGTATGCTCGCGTAAATAATTAAATTTCACTTGCAGGAATATTTTTCTCAGTGTTATTATTTAGCAATTTTTTAACGCGCGATGGAAAACAATTAAATAGAATGATATATAAAATATTCCGGGGATGTACTTATACAATGAAGCGAATGTTTTTCATGCATAATTTTTGTATTTTGTTTATATTCTTCCTATATGTATATATTTCACAGAATTTCTCCGAATATCCCAAATGTTTTTTATTTAAATTATGTGCGAGGCGGTTTGAGGAAGACGGAAGAAAGGGAAAGAGAGAGAGAGGAGGAGAGGGAAAAAGAGAGAGAGAGAGAGAGAGAGAGAGAGAGAGAGAGAGAGAGAAAGAGAGACAGAGAGACAGAGAGAGCATAAGAACGACTCGCGCGTGGCAGATAAATTAATTGGCAGAAACATCTTTTGTGGAGAAAAACTATCAGTACATCTGCTTTTCTAGAACACACAATCAGACATTTCCCTTTATTCGCGAGCCAAGCAGGCAAAAGTATACACTGCACAACGTAGAACAGGCTAACTTCCGGCCGTAACATCCGCCTACGCGTTATACCGCATCGATAATTACAATTTCAGTTACATTTTAATTAGCTAAAATACTAATGTGCTGCGTGAGCAAGTATAGCCAATGAACAACGTGTTGATCCAGAAATGAATCAAAATACTTCCGTATAGCGCTTCGTATACTGACATCCTATATACAGATATGCGTCAAAACAAGTGACGAAAAAATAAAGCTATGTTTTAGTTTAATTCATATTATTAATCTCCATTCTCGAATATTATTTCGAGAAGTACAGATTGTGCATATAGAGGTATCTCACACGAGAATTTTAATTTTTTATAGTCAACATTGTATATAAAAGAGTAAATGGTTCTACACTAGAATAGAAGAAAGTAATTTTATACAAATAATTTTCTTAATAAAAATAAAATATTGTTGTTAATGATATACAAGCTAAAATTAATAAATTTATTTAGAAAAATAAGATTATCTTCCTATCGATGGTTTTACAATTTACATCGGTTTACGCAATTTAAAACATCTTTAAACAAATTCACAATTTTGTTTGCAAAATAATACCCGCCGTCGATTCGATGCGAAAACGATAATTCCAAAGATCTCGGTGGGAGAAGGATCCTTCGGAAAACGACGACGTAAAATACGCGGCGCGGATAGGGAGAGAGGGTTGAAAGGAGCAGCACGTGGGATCCGAGGGTGCCGTTTTCCCTCCCTTTCGCTTTAGGGGGAACGAACGAGACATCGATAATCGTGTTTGTTGTACGACTGCCGATACGAAACTTCAGGAATGCCGCTCAGCCCAAGAAACAAGGGAGGTTTACGACTTAAGAAGTATTATGTCATCCGAATATTCGCGCGCGCGGCATCCTCCTTACCCTCGACTCGCCCAAATCGTGACTCCTTATATGCAACGGGGGAGGATTGTACGACGCCGAAATTTTGACAACGCTCGCCCGTCAACACCCATAACGTTTTAGGGTCGTCGCATATGAAGGGTGATCTCTGATCGCGAGTTTACGAAGACTGGGAGAACTTCGGGTCGCGTCGCGCCGCGCTGCGCCGCGCGACAAAAGTTTTAATATTTGTTGTTTAAATATTCAGAAGGAGTCGCGACGTCGATCTAAAACTGACAACAGAGCTCCATTGGTTCTCTTTTAGATGTCCAAATCGATGCGTTTTAACTATCCAATGGTTCGAATTTCGTTTTTCTGCAAGATTCATAATCCCGAAAACTGGGATTATATCATAAAATGAGAATTTCCATTAATACGGTTCAGAATATATCAAAATGAAACTTTAGTTTTGTTTTCACGAAACTCTATCTACCTGTTTTACATTATTTATTGCCATACTTAAATTGAATTAGTACAATCTATACTTTTACGTAAATCTTCGTGTAATCGATCCGCAGTTTCGTTAATATCTTATTATGATTAAAAGGCTATGCGTCGTCTAAAATCATTAAATTTTAAATATATATGCTCAATAAGGAAGCAAGTAATAAAAGTTTTCGCATTCTACATAAGCTGCGAAAGCTTTTATGTATTAGATACACATCAACTACGAAAAGTACTCTCACTCACATCAACAAGCCACGTCACTGTGTCTCAGAAGCCAGGGAAGTATACACCACTGACCTGAAATAAAAATTAAATAATAAATTAAACATGTACAGAGAAATTAATTGCCGTAAATTCATATTTTAATTGTTATACATAAAATATTATTTCTTTTTGTATGATTTTTATTATTTTTTTAAATATTTTTATTACATACATAATCTTTCGATGCATTATCTCTATATTAAAATAATCTAAAGACATAACCTAAAATCCATAGAGAAGTTGTAAAAAATCATGTATATACCTTCTCAGAATTCTCAAAATTAGAAATTAACGTGAATCGAGACATATATTTGGAATAAATAAAATATTGAAAGAGTACAACACGTCCCTAACCTTCCACGTCTTTCACAATGCGCGTGACGACAAGCCAGCCCGCAATATTCATTCCGGCAGGCAGCGAGAAGAACAATACTCCGCGTTTGAGACTATCAATCCCATTCGAAGCCATTACAACGCATTCTTCGACTCGGCCGCGGCGGTGCCGTTAATTAACAAACTCGAAAAGTATCGCGGCAGAAAGTCTCGTTCGTCTCGGAACGTCGCTCGGCGAAAGAGTGGTATGAGTCCATCACGCATCGGGCAGGGGTGACGGCGAGCGTAGGACGGAAGCGCGCGCGTATAAAGGGTCGGTGTCTGGCTAGACGGGCAGAAATGAAGCAGCAAGGGTTTTGTTTGTCCGGCTGTCCACCCCTTTCCTTCCTCCATTCAGGCCCTACCGCCCTCCTCCCGCCAGCCTCCCCCGCGCGTAACCGTGGCTCTCCGCTCTCTGCGAGAACCCCGTGGCACCCTTCAGCCCCCTTCTTCATCACCTCCTCCCACGTAGTCTCCATCTCTCCCGGCAGCCCCTCCTTATACCCATCCACCTCCCCCGGCCATGTAACAATGCACGTGTGTACACTGTGTTTGCTCACATCCTCCCGCATATATCTTTGCGAGCTATAATATTGATTACTTCGGGCGAATTTCAGGCCGAGCGGCGCGAGCTGAGACCGTTTATCCGACTCGAACCGCCACGCCGCGCCGCGCCGCGCCGCGCCGCGCGCCGTGCCGACAACCCCTACGCGAGCCACCCCCGCGCAGCGCGCACAGCCTTCAAGTCAATCTCTCGTTGTCGACGCCGCCGACCACTTCCCCACCCTCCCAAACCTCTAGCGTTCGACGTCGCAATGCAGCTTTTCCTACGGCGATTTGGCCTCGATCTCAGTTTGTAGCTGCATCTTAAAACAACAGTAATATATATCAGAATGTCTTCAGAACGTCTCATTTCTGTCGCAAAAGTAATCGATATTTTATCTGATGAATAGTTTGAACAGAACAGGTTTGATCCAATTTTTGAAATAAAGAAAAAAGATAAGGATAAGGATTTGGTATCTCTCTCGCGAGTTGTATAAAAATTTAAAAATATTCCACACTTAAAACATTAGAATTATTAATATATGATTACTGTTTCGTTATACCTTTTTATATTATTATTTATTATTATGTTTTTAATTTTATGCTTATTTAACATAAATCACAATTTATCTAGAAAATTTCTTAATTCAAATTCTTTATACCGAGTTCAATGAAATTTATGTGTTTTCTAAAGATAATATATCCATTGTTTTAAAAAGTCGAAAGAATTTTGTTGCATTGACATAATCAGCGCAAATATAACGTCAATGTAATAATTTTCACAAATATATGGCGCGACATTATAAAAAATTGTAATATCTTTGCCACACGGCATTTATAAAATCTTCTCGTCACACAATATATAAAATTAAATACTGCAGTAAAAACTCATATAATTAAAAAAGACATAATTAGTTTCTCTCTCGATATTTTTCCTCCCATCACACGGACCCCCTTAAGCGGCCAATAAAAATCGCGAGTCTCTCTCTCTCTCTCTCCTACCACACACACAGAGCTCCGACCGACCTTTCAAATGCAACGCGTATTAAAAGCGCGAGCGGTGCGCATGAAAAAGTATAAACGAAAAACGCAACAATACCAAAAAAGCGTTATAACTATTGCGCGTAATGCTGGGACTTTGAAAGAGCCCCATCATTCCGTTCCGGCAAATACCGCGCGACTTAAATTGCGTCACGGTCCTTCCCCGAGCTATCCCGTGAACATTTAATTCCATTCGCGAACCACCCCCTCGTCCCTCCCGCGCACCACCCCGCGCCCCGTCGGCCCTTCCTATGTCTCCCGGTGCTTGCACCATCAGCACCAAGTCCGTATGTCGCGAATCGAAGTACAAAGAAGCAATAGTAGAAATAAGATAATTGCTATTACAATCGCAATTTCATCCAGGACGACGGAACCTTGGTGGTAAAGGGAGGCGCGGCGGGGAAGTGGAACGCGTGGGTAGGGGGGCGGAGAAGGACGACTGCCGCAGAGAGCTGAACTACAAAGTACGTTAATGTCGTGCTCACACCCCCGTGCACCCCCAGCGCCATTCCGATGCCGCAGACAGTTTGTTGTCGAAGCTTCGGGGATTACACAAATGAGGTTGTTCAGCGGGAGAAATGTACATTCTGCTACAAAGCCGGTCCGCCGCGCGCGCGGCCGTGTGCCACGCACGGAATTAAAAACCGGGGTGGAAGAGCGAAGGTGAAAAGTGCCGCGATCGCTCCGCGGCCCCCGCGTCCATGCCCGCGCCCCCGCCCGCGCCGCGGACAATATTTTCTTTGCTGAAAGCCGGCGCGCCGTAGAATGGATTTTCATCGGCGCGGCGTTTGAGCCCTTCAAGAACGGAATTCGTTTTTATCGGATACGCGCGCTGGCTCTCTTTCTTTCTCTCTCTCTCTCTCCCTCCCTCCCCCCCCCCCTCTCTCTCTCTCTCGGATCGGAATATCGTCACAACGACCGGTGTAGTTTTTAAAAATAGCATCCTTCGACCTCGATCGTCGCCGTCAGCAGCTTGAACGTATTGCAGACGCGTTGACGCGCGTCACTAAATCTCCACGATATCGGGATACTCCGGCGAATCGGTCGCGTCCTGTTGCATCGCGTCGGCTTTGAAATGTCTCGCAGAAAAAGCGCGGTTTCTCTTCAGCGTGGCATTTTTTTTATTGATTAGTAATATTGATGCGCATACATTATTAAACCTCTACAAAACCGGAAGCCTAATATTAAGCGCTGGAGTGGCGCCGTCTTCTTCGTAGTTCAATCCACTGACAAGGACAAAAATGTTCTAGCACTTAAACTAAAAAGGTCGTCCAAAAAAGGGACCGATCTGTAGAGGTTAATATGGTCCATTAAATTTGTCTTATCTGATTTAGTATGTATAATCGTTCTTAGAAAATTAATTAATGTTACATTAAAATGGGATAAAACATGGTTTTAAAGAATCTTATAATTCAGATTTGTAGTAATATTTTATTAAAAGAGGATACTTTAAAAATGCATTAGAAATCTATAAAGAATTATATAAATAATTTCGAAAAAAGTTTACGTTTATTCTTGCTGTTGCAACTTTGCTTTGTCAAATTTTCCTGTATTTATATAAATGGCTATTTTTAGCAATATTTTATTCTATGTGCAACTGACTGCCATTACTGAAAAGTCAATTAAGACACATTCTATCAAGAACAAGATACAATCATGTAAAAATACGCGTTACATTAATAAACCAATAATACGTTTACAAAAAAAAAATCCGCGCTTACAAACATTAGATGCACATATGAACACTTTCAAAGCAAACTCTTGAGAGTTTAACGTTTTCTGTCTCGCCTAATCTATCGCAAATAATAGTGAATATTCTCCACAAAGTTCGTCCGTGCTTCAGGAAGGAACAGGACGGCAGCCGAGCGCGATAGTGACGTCGGCGGAAACTAGTTAGGTCGGAGGCCGGCGCAGTCCGAAGGGGTTGTAACGGAGGCGGCTCTCGTGCCAGCGCACCATAGGGACCGGGGGATAGTAATTGTATACGTACTGGGAGAATGGCAAGGTAAACAAAACTATGTAAGATTGCCCCATTAATATACATATCTCTCGGTTCAGCCGGGCCAACCGTGAGAGAGCCAACCAGTCTCTGAACCGCGCCGATGGGGTGTGGGTAGTCTTGGCCTCAGACTTTGGGGTTAGGCCCGCTCGAGAGCAAGTAGGGTACACAATGGATATTGAGACCATAATTTACGGCTGATTGTTAGCCCCCGCGATCTATGGATTCCTGCGTCCCGCCGCGCACCACCGGGCGCCTTCTAACAACTCCTCGCTTCCATGTCGAATTTGTATTAGGCTCGTAATAAGTACGAGGTTACGTGTGCACCGAGTGGAAGCGGAAGCATTAGAGGAATCCCGCGGGAGCGATCGGTATGGGTATATGAAAGACGCCGCGGGATCGTAACGCCTGTCATCCCGCGAATTTTCTATGTTAACCCTATCGTCGTGGGCGAAAAATACACGGAAAACTATGTTCGAGTATAATAATATCATGCGTCTCCTTGACGCGATTCAATAAAACATTAAGACCAACATACATATTCTTCCTAGACTTGAAGATAAGTTATAGTATTATAAACTTCTAACTAAATGCTCTCAGCTCTGTAATTCAATGCGCGTTAAATAATCTCGCGTTGTGTATTGTATCGCTTTTGCAAATTCTAAACAAATAATCATTACATCGTGTACGCTTAAATGCAATAAATAGTACTAAATCTAATATTAGTCAAATCAGGGAGTGTGTCTTCGAAATTATTCGTATCAAACGAATCGTAAGCGTAATTGGCCGGAGTTCGAGGAGCGTTTTCCCGCGCGAGGTCAGTTACTCTTCGCTTACTGGCTTCGCAAGAACGACGGTTATAAATTAATTACGAGGGTCAAATTCACAACTGGATGCCGTTACACGGAGTCTGGATTTGGAGGGGGCGAATGTCTTACTATAGTTTCACTGGTAGCGCGAAGGGTAGCTCGAGGGACCGTGTAAGGAGGAGACGATGTTTGGTCTTCCTTACAAGGGGCCGACCAGAGCCAGCCGACCAACCTGCCTGCCACTTACCGAAGGATAATAACGTAGTAATCCCGCCATGAGACACGGATGAAGTCCTTAATAACCCCATAAACTCAAGATATATCTTGCATATCAATATACCAGAGCAAGCATGCCGCTACAATACATACATCAGCGCTACAATGCATTACCTCTCTCTCGTTAATTAAACAAACGATTCACGTCAAATTCTCTCACAATCGAAAGATATCGCGGCAACGTTAAAAGCGTTATTTAAGCCATTAATTATAGGTTAAGTGGTAAATGCTTTCGTCAATATTCCATTCGAAAATTAATCACGAAATGGATAATTAGGCAAATTTTTAATATTTCTCCTTTATGCGCGTATGTAAAACGGACGGGGGGGGGGGGGGGGCTTGACGTTTGATATTTTGTTACAAGTACCTATCAAGTTAACAAACCGTTGCCATATAGATCTGTAATTTAGTTATGAAATTCATCGAATAAATATGCATAGAAATAAATATGGCTCGGCGCATAAATTTTATACGCGTCGGGCTGTTAAAAACCCCCCCGGGATGATCAAAATCTGTTTTCAGCGCATCTACAATATCGAGGACAACGAGAGCGCGATCGATAATTAATAAGTCGATTGTCGGCACGAGGCGGTATTTCATATCTGAGGGGCGAGCGCGCGTTACATTTTTCCGCATTCTCTCGCGAAACGAAACTATCGGGGAAAAATGATACGGCGATTCCGGGGAAAAATCGCAGCCCGCGGCGCGCACGCCGCGCCGCGCCGCTTGTCAATTTTGCACCTTTCAATTCGATTTGGAAAGTATCGCGGGGGAAATAGTATCGAAATATCGTTTATACGTCTCTCTAAATCAGGCACTTCGTATCGGGGCTTGTTGAGGTCGGTTGCATTCCTATCGCGCTATGCAACGTAACATGAATTTGCAGGAATTCACGATATAATCACAAATTAATTACGACGGCTTTATTGAAGTTCGCGGCGATTTTTGAAAATTTCCGGAAATTACGGAAGGCCGATCTGAAATTGGAATTCGCGATGCGCATGCTGCCCGCTGCAAATTTGTGTAAGTAACGCGATATGTAGTTCATTTAACGTAAAGTGCAAATCCATCTGAAAAAGAGGCCCGCTCGCAAAACATCGGTCGCTTCCGAATTTGTTACATAACCTGAATAATTCTAAAAAAAAAAGTAAACGGAAGACAAATGAGGTGTATTTAAATAAGAAATCCAATCAACCAACTAAAGATAATAAAAGCGGGGAAGAAAATGAGATATAAAAGTCGCACGAGTGAGATTTATCAAAGTTATGTCTACCGCATAAACAGTTGGTTTGTGAAATAAAGCGCAAGGTGGATTATTTCAGGTCTCGAAAACATCTCCGCGAGATGCGCGGCCTATTGCGGCGATCGACGGGCTCTCCCTCAAGGACAATTTTCACGTCTGTCAAGAATGGCGCGAGCCCAGGCGGCAAAAAGTGAGGACGATCGACTGCTACAGCCGAGGGCTGCTGTAGCAAGCTGTTTTCCCGACCGATGGCGGACAGATGACGGTGGGAGCCGGAGAGGAGCTTAACAAATGGTCATTCGGTCGTTGCCACGAAACGCACCTACTTGAGATGCGGAGGATCTATGGCTCCCATTTCTCACCGGGCGCTTTGCGGCCGGAACAATACCCTAAGCGGGGCCGCGCGTAAGAACTGTTGGGACACCCGAGAAGGACTCCCTGAGCAGGTTGATCACCGTCACGTGGCTTCCGGGGAATCTTACCGAAATACTACGGCGAAACACAAGAGAGGACTTGGTGAAGCAATGTAGTGTAATAACGAAGAAAATCTACGTCCTAGGGAAACCGTGTAGCTCATATTGTTTTATATACTAAATGAGATGAATGCGTACTGATCTTTTAATAAATGACTATTATATTTAAATATTATGTCTCGTGGAGACAGGTATTTTTTTTAAATAGCTGAATGAATATAGCGTTACAGGCTGAAAACATGATTTCTTGAGACAATACTGTCATAACCGCGACGAGCAATTCTGTTAGACTTCTCATCAATTTATTTGATTATTCCTTTTTTCCTTTTCTTGGTTATATATGTATTATGGACCAAATAAAGCAAGAGTGATGTTGCTAGAGAAACGATGAGAGCTTAGTATGGAAGTGAATTTATAGACACTGGGTTATGCGGCGCAAGCTGTCAAACGATCATCCCCCGACAGTTTGGGGTTTACTGGAACATCGGGCGTAAACTGCCCTCGGGGACCTTGTTAGTTCAATTCGCCCTGAACGCCCCCCTCTCCTTCCCGCCTCCGAAAAAATTCCACGGCCCTTTCCATCACTGCCCTCCCTCCGTCTTTCCTCCGCCACCTAGCAGCAGCGAGACGAGAACGGTGCGCGTTTACGTTACCGCTTATTATGTTGTTCCGGAAAAGAGGATTATTGCGGTATGCCCGCCGTCGAAAAACAGCGCAAAATGCTTCCGGCTATTGCGAGCTCGCGTTTAAATCGTTGAACCTTTGTGTATACAATGTATAGTGTTTATTGTTTAACATTTCGCGCGCGTTGAAGAAGGTGCCGCTTTTTACGCGCGCCTGCTTGTTGGCGCTAAAGTTTTTCCACTGCTTCTTCTTTCGTAAAGCCCAGTAAGAAGAAACGTAAAAATAGATCGCATATGGAAGAAGTCAAATGAAAACTCCTAACTAGGAAAAATTGAAGAAACGATCATAATTGAATATCTTGTTACGTGTTTCTTAAACATATAAAAGCTAGCATTGAACATTAGGCAAATGATTAAACATAACAGAGATTTATTTTTACAATTGCTTTATATCATATATACTTTATTATCTGTTATAATTATATGTTATAAGTTATGATTATTATAAACGGATGATATATCTATTTAGCTTGAAAAGATCTAGTCTTACATTAAATAAAAATTAGTTTTCGATTAATCTAGTTTTGATTATCGAATATGATCGTAGAAATTACACATTTGTTCGGCGATAAATATTTCAGATAAATAAAAAATGCCCGATACTGCTGGCACCTCCCTTTTTTTTTTTGAAATATATTTGAGTTGGGATAAACAAATATTTATTTACTGCGACTAAATTTTCGAATAGATTCACATCCGGGGCCAAAGCATTTTCGCTTCGATGTATATTATAAACGAGTAAATATTGGCGCTGGGAATAAGCCCCGAAAAAAGTATAATCTCTGTAACGATAAAATTGAGGGAAAAATTTCCCAATTTTTCCGGTAAAATATAACTTCCGCGTAACTCCCTTTTATGTGATACAGTCACATAACACGGCAGGCAGGAGCGACATTGCCATCAGCGTTAACTCGCTTTTGTAAATAAAGATATTTATTCGGATTTATTAAGAAATATTTAATGACGCTCGTGCACGTTTTTATCAAACTTTTATTATAATGCATGTTTATTATAAAATTTACTTAAATAAAATGTTGTTTACCGTTATATATATAATTTCATTTATTAATGAAAATGATTTTAATAAATATGATATGTGGATGCAATTTTAATGTCTGCCGTACAGTTACTTGCATTAACATTACTACTTATTTTTTATACTCATATTATTCGACATATTTTTTTGTTGTATTTACTGTTATATTTTGTAAAAATCGGTAAAAATATAATGTATATTTTACAAAAAATATGATGAATATTTTTATTAATTGCGCGCGTATTTTACGTACACATGGATTATTATTTCGCGTCAATAATGTGATTTCTAAAAAACATAGCGGCTGTTTAAATAATATCTTATTATATCTACATCTCTATTATATGTCTAATGAAATTTATGAAGAAAATAATACTCCGCGTAAATACTTGAAGCGTACAGAGAAGATCAAACCTATTTGGCTAACACGATTGGCGCGTACGTTTGTAACATGCCCGATCAAAGTGGGCAGCGGTAACAGCAGAAATCAGCCTTTGAAAGCACTCGCTGATGTTCGACAGGCGAGCGCGAAGGGGGAGGAGGAGGGAGGGTTTGAAAAACGGGAGAGGATAAAGAGAGTGACAATGAGGGGTGGTGGCGGACGATCGAACGAAACCGCCGGTCAGAGTATTGTCAAGGTATTGTTCTGCCCCGCTTCCGAAATAATCGTCAAGCCGACCTAATGGGGCATGAAGTCCCGATATCAAAATAACTCATCCGTGTCCGGCACGTGGTCAAACGCGTCGGACGCTTTCCTCGCCCCTCCGTCCTTTTTCGCCGCCAGAAAGCCTCGGGCGTTAAAAATAGCGGCGTGAAAAACTCCTTTCTGCGTCTATTGTCCGACCGCCGAGATAGAACCCCCCGCGGAAAAATCTTCGCTCCCGAGTGATAGCACGCGAAATCAGGCTGTCGCTCGCCGAGTTTTCATATTCTCAGCTTCCGCATGGAAACGCTCTATGTTTTTCAATTTCGCGGACATTTATAACGTTACAAAATTAATATAAACATAAAAATATAAATTATTATAATCGACACTTTTGCTGCTCTAAAAATATTTAAAAAAATAATCATATATAGTGTAATAAGATTTTAAAAAGTCATACAAGTACGATATTATCGTTTTTGCTAAAAGGTAAACTATTTCATATTGTCATATTTCCATCAAATCTATTGTTGTCCTTAACATAAATTTATTTCCAAAATATTATAATAAAACTATCTTCTTTGAATATAAGTCTTAGATAAAAGTAATATCATTATTTCCTTCGTTCTCTCCCTCTCTCTTTCTTCAAGGTACAATAATACAACAAAATTAGTTGTACTTTCGAATGCCTGTGCAACCAACCTTTCCTAGAAGGATATTATATATAAACTGTTTCCTAGCTTAATACAGCTGCTAGCAGTTTCTTCAATTTCCCGGAATACACGGCAGGAATGCTGAAAAATTGATTATGCCATACATGCTCAAGACCATATACACATCTTTAACAAATGCAGGGTGTATAGGCCGAAAGTAGTTACGACGCATCAAATACAAAGTTACATTTCTAAAGTTGTGCTCGAGCAACTCCGCTAAATTGCCGCGATGTGTCCTTCCGCGCGTACGTAGATCGCGTTTAGCGAGGCTTCGTCGTACTTTTCAACACACAATGCGCAACTCACGTTACGATGCGTCTAAATTATTGATTACGGAATAACCTAGAATAAGCCATCTCTAAATTCGTAATCGCTCGGTATTCCAATACCGTCGTGCATCGCGGCATAAAAGAGAGACAGCTGTGTAATGCCGCGCGAGTGCACCGCTCGAGAACCCTAACGTCGGAACGTTAAAAAACCGGCCATAGAATAATATCGAAAAATTACCCCCTTTTCCTCGTGTAATTCGATTAATACGTCAGAAATTCCTCATGTCAGAAGTCAACGTACTCGGTAAATGCCCGTATATCGGGCACGCATGTTTAATGTGGATCAAGTAGGAAATATCATCTGTAGATGTGTATGCCGACGTAAGACGGATTGACGTTATAAATTGATGAACGTTTAAATGCATCACCACCGTGAGGTGCAACAGTTTAATCGAATCCAATTTCTGCGTTCACGTCCGCATGAATTTCTTATATAAATTAGCGACGTAATCTTTTCACAATTTTAAAATTATATATGATACAAAAAATTAATTATACAATACTATGTCTCTTGAAATATTTATTTAGATTGTTATTAATTTATTAAATTATTTTCTTAACAAAATATAATATTAAAATATTCGCAAAATATCGCTGACATATTTCAGCCAAGCGCATAAATAATAAGACTACCGCGTGCCTGGCGATCGAAACGTAGGTACAAATGAAATGTGGCGGCGGTGCAGGTCGTACGAAAATTTGACTACAAATATAATTGCAGCGTTGCGAGCTGCATGCGAAATCGAAGCCCGTTATCGAAAGCCTTTCCCGAGCGGCGCGGCGCGGGGCGCCCGCGATCAATCGCGAACGGCCTCGAAATCACGCTTACGTAATCGGGTATCGGAAAGTCGAAATTACCCTAAATAGCAACAGTGTTGGTGGCGCGTATCGGACGAGCCGGAGGATATCCACCGATGCCGATGACGGTAAGGGTGGTGGTGCGACGAGAGGCGACGCGGCTCCGGAGGTGGCTCCCACCCTCGCAAGCCGGCAACTCGAAAGTAGGAACCGCGACTATGGGCGAAGCTAAGTCTGTCCGTGTAATGGGGCATCGGCACGCGATTTCTCCGGCCTTTTCCCCCTGCCCCCTTCACGCTGCACCCCTCGCGATTCTAACTTTCAACTTCACTTCACAGCTCCCCCGGGCCCCGCTGGCCCACCCCATCGGTGCACCTCATCCCCGGGGGGGGGGGCCCCGCGTGGCAGGGTGTTGCGCTGTGACTTATCGGCTCTAATTATTCGCCGGCAAGAAAGCAGGCACAGCCCCGACGATCAGACCTGCCACCCTCGTAAAGTAGCTTTTCTCCGACGCATCGCGCACACCTTCCTACAGCTGTTACGTGCTATTTATTCGCGGCTCTGATACTCGTGTGCGTGATCGTGTTGTATATACTGTTGTACAACGCCGCGAGCGGCCGCTGATCGTCCGAGAGTATACGCTTCTTGGAATGATTAAAGTCGCTTCGTCGTCAGCTACTTTATCCATCTATCATTGTTTGCGGGAGGAAATGTTTTAACCCATTTAACCCGAGACTACGAATAACTCGTCGTTACGAAACAGGTGTTGTCAGACCGGTATAATTTTCATTAGAGATGATAATCATCTATAATAATGCACCTTAATGTAACTTAACATTAAAAGTATTTTTAAGGAAACGTAGCAACAAGTAACAGTAAAATGTGATAAAATTGCTCGCTATGCTGATAACGTCCAATTCAGGTACTACTGTATCAATTTAGTACTTTATTATTTCATTTCTGGCACATTACACGATCGTTTGCGGGATATTAAAAGCAACGAGTAGGTACGACTTTTCCATAAGCGATTTTGGAGCCGCAAATGGCCTGTTTCCGCAGTCTTATATTTAGCTCGCAACTTGATAGATGTTTACACGGGCCAGCGAAGACTTAATTCGTTCTGAAAGTTCGCGAGGAGTGAGAAAGTGTTTAGCTGAAAAAAAAAACTGAAGCGCCGATGGCGTGATAAATTTCGGAGTCACGGAAAGCAATTCTAATTCTGGCCCCCCGCCCGTATATACACATCTTGACC